TATAAATATAATATAAATAAATATATATAAGGTTATGAGTGCAACTAAAGATCTTAGTAAAACGAATACTTCCACGATATATGCGCGCGCGTGTGTGCATGTGTGCGTGTGCGTGTGTACGTGCGTGAGTGTGTGTATGGGCTACGAAAAGGGGTTCTTTAAGCGTAGTTGAGCTCTAGTAAAGCATTAATAGGTTGATCGGCTTTTATAACAAAATGTGGCAAACAGCTAGTTTCAAAAGATCAAGAGCTAATTACTCAAATGATACAGAGCCAATAATGGGTATTATTTGCTCTTAAAAAGATGTGGCAAATATTGTTGTAGATAAGACTGACAGATATAATGGAAATAGTGACAAGTTTAGTATACTAAAGAAAAAACCGACTATCGCACATCTCTGTACGGAACAGAAAAGAGTAGACAGAACTTCATATTAATAACTTAGATATTGATAAAGCAAAATTACCACACGCATCCGGCAATTTGTAATACCATACAGTTTGTAAGTGTGCGATGAACGTGGATAACAGCAAACGAATTAGTGGGTTGTGGGAAAGAAAGGAGGAAAGACAAGAACGAAAAACTGGCAAAGAATGAGGGAGTTAATGCAAAAAAGAAAGTGGAAACAAACGAAAGAAGGATGGACGGATAGCAGAAAGATAGAGGGAAACAACGCAACGAAGAAAGACACGAACAACGAACAAAGGTAAGCGGGAAAGGCGCGTGACGTCACCTCGGGGCTTCGGCTGCGTAAGTATGAGCTGAGTCTGCTTCAGATTGGAGTAGCCTCCAGCCTTCTCGCCCTTCAGTCCGGGGATTCCGTTTAGGGAGAAGTACGCCTCACCGGCGAAGTCGTTGGCGAACATAATGTCGTGGTCCATGACGGTGAACTGCACCATCGCCGACTCGTGTCTGCACTGGTCCGGATTCACGGTACTGATGTGCCGAGCAGCATGGATAAACATCGTTAAACCACGCGTTAGAACACGCTCCTAAAGGGGAGCTTATGTAGGGCTTGCGAGCCGGCTCGACTGGAAGCAACTGGCTGCAATTCACTGCGACTGCAGTGCTTAGGTCGGTCGACTGCGACGCGACTGCCTGCGACTGGTAGCCACTAGTTCCTCGGAATAGAACACTGGGCAACTGGACGCAACTAGTCGCTGCCGATCGCTTCGCGCAGTGCTCGAGAATGGCCAGTTGCTGTGCCAGGTCGAGTCGGCCTCCGCAAGCCCGACATAAGCCCCCCTTAACTTCAACGCATATAAACTTTGAGCATATAGCATACAAAGCATATTAATATATAAAGACCCATAGATATGATGTGTTTGCACAAAAACCATGTAAACTCTAAACGCATAATAGTCATAAAAACCAATGCTATATTTAATATAATTGTAGCTTATATGTGGTATATATATATATTATATAATATATTATATATATATATATATATATGTACATATATCATGATAACATGTAAACTCTAAACATATAGCATATAAAACGTATAAATATATAGCCTATAAGCATATAGCATATAAAGCATATAAATATGCAGCATATGGACATATATAACATATAAAATATACAAAACTATATAAGCGCATATATATATATATATATAGATATATATTAATGAAAGCATGTAAACGCATAACCTAGACGCATACTGAACAGAGAGAATTTAAAAGCGAAAATCATGTAACCAACAAGAGCAACGACTAGATACGACAGGTACACGGCAAAACCACAACTTTTACGTTCAGGGACAAGTATAGCTCTACCACATGACAACAATCGCTAGAGCAGTCACAATAGTAGTTACATGCGTGAAAATATACACAGAGCTGAGGTAGGGACGTGAAGACATCTATGCAGGCATACTCACAAGCCGAACGATTCGTCAAAGAGTGGGTTTAGCGATTTCTTCACAATCTTCGTCCGCTGTACCTGGCAGGTGGGGAAGTTGTGACTTGGCACCAACTCTATCATCACAAATGGGTCGCTCAGACCTGTACAGGACATATAGATGTCGTAGAAAATTAGGAACAGCTCTAATGAACATATATATATATATATATATATATATTTATTTATTTACTTCATTTCAATTTATCACCTTATTACCTACCGTTCATTATACCCTAGCATTTTATTAACTTACTCTCAAACGAGTCAAACGAGTGGATTTCCAAAAATATATAAGAGAGCAATAAGTTAAAAAAATCACCTGAGCCAATAATTCCCGCAATCAATTGGTGTTGATTTGAGGCGATGTTTTGCAAATCTTGAAATCTGTGCCATGAAATTGCTTTTATAATATGTTCTACGCTTACTTCGTAGAAATAGAGCAGGCGTAGCAGATCGTAATCAATGATAACCTTACCATTGGTATCAAGTGGGATGATATCCTTAGCATTCAGAATCTCCACCGAAAGCTCCTCGGACGAGAAGTTGTAGTATACCCTGACAGTCAACACCCCGAAGCGGCTGTCTTCAGTGCACTTCTGTATGTCGATCTTCTCCAAATAGAACATGTCCACCAGGGTATTCGTCTCGGACTTATGTAGCCTGAGCAAGTCCTGCAGAGCCTGCAGCAACAATGAGAGACGACGATGATAATAGTGAAATAAATGGTTATGAAATTATTCCCTATTCTGATATAACTCTATTCACCATGTGTGTGTGTGTGTGTGTGTGTGTGTGTGTGTGTGTGTGCGTGCGTGCGTGCGTGCGTGCGTGAGTGCGTGCGTGCGTGCGTGCGTGCGTGTGTGTGTGCCACAAATCTACCAAAATCCCATCAATCTTTCAATCCGATTAGAGCCGATAAGTGAGGATGACTGAAATTTCGACTGAACGCGTTACATGAGATACGGTATCGGGTTGACTCCCCGAGGAGGGCTGCGCTCATGTGCACGCCTTACCTCGTACTCTCTGCTCATGATCGTCTGCATCGGTAAGCCCTTCTCGTTTGCGTGGAAAAACTCGCGCAAGATGTCGAGAGCATCGTACAAGCGCGAGTAGAAAACTGGCTTCTTCTGCACGGGACAAAGCAAAACTCGCATGTAAAACAGAACTCGTAAGTCAAAACTCCTAAGTGAGAACTTAATTGTGAGTAAGTTAGAAGTAGAACTCCTAAGTTAGAACTTGTTCGTAAGTCAGAAATCCTAAGTGAGAACTTATGGGTAAGTCAGAAATCCTAAGTGAGAACGTGTGAGTAAGTCAGAAGTGCATGCTAAGTAATAACTATGTTCACGTAGCTAAACCCGTGTAGCCGTTCCCTGCGCCAAGTGCCTGTGGCGGAGCGAAAGGCTATACGGTAGAGATAGTACCCACGCAGCAAGCTTGTCTCACCCCCATGTTGGTTTCTAGCATCTTCTTGATCTCGTCCAACACGACGTGCCAGATCTCCGCTAGCAGGCGATCAAAGTTGGTCCGCAACAAGCTCTTGTTCAGCGTGTCAAGGTTGTTATCTAGATAACTCAACAACGACTCGATCGCCTGCACGCACGCACGCACGCACGCACACACACACACACACACACACGCACGCACGCACGCACGCACGCACGCACGCACACGCACGCACACACACACACACACACACACACACACACACACACAAACACACAACACGAGCCGTTCGTTAGTGCACGATCGCAGACACTGTAAAGCGTTTGGTATATCTCGACAGCCCCTAGTAGTTATTGGGCTGGCGTTCGTTCTAACTGCGCAGCTTGAGCATTAGCAGCCATAACAGCATTACCTCGGTATTACATCGATAAGTATGTGCACAGGCTCATGAACCGTTTCAACAATAAAATGATGGTTATTAAACACGAAATGTATTTACTACCAAAGTCCTAATGTTTATCTATTTTCTTTCGCCTATTTTTAGTAATTGTTCCCCGTAAATGCAGTTCAGACGCTTCTCTGCAATACACAATTTCACCGCGCATACGCCACTGTGCACAAACTCGCAGCCAGAAAGAGAACCCTATCGAACACAACACAGAACACAAATAATATCTTTCTATGAGGTTGTGCGCCCGTGGCGCCCGTGCGTTGAAATTGTGTGCATGTTATAGAGGAGAATTTGAAGGCATTTACGGGAAATAATTAGCCGATAGAGAATACGTAAATATTCAGACTTTGGTAGTAAACACAAGTTGTGTTTATTCACAATCATTTTATTATTGAAACGGTCCAAGTGTCTGTGTGTGTATGAAATATAACAGCCGAGACCTTATGAGAATCATGAGTAGACCATTGCCTTATCATTTGTGAGGTGATCGAATGTCGATCCTACTAGAACCATGAGACGCTGACATACAGATGTCGCATTAGAACATTGTTTTTCTCTATTATCGCACTTACGTCCTCGGCAGGCACGGACTCCGGCGCCCAAGCCAAATGGAATACGCTTTTGCCTATGTCCGGTCTCATCTTAAATGATAAGAACGTGTGAAAATGAGCATGTAAATTAACATACGTATATATATATATATATATATATATAATTTTTCCATAACTTAAAAGTTATATTATTATATAAGTCTGGATGCTTGAGTCTTACTGTCGGTAGGTAGTCCATGGCGTTAAGTTGCAGAGCGTTGTAATTGTAGTCTGTGTAATTAAGACGAGACATCACTTTTAGCTGTTACTACGAGTTTCACACTTACGCGATCATCAGACAGACTTTAATGAAGAATCTTTTAGTCATTAATTATAGATTCTTCATTAAAGTCTGTCTGTGATCGCGTAGGTGTGAAACTCGGAGTAAGCTTAAAGTGATGTCTTGTCTTTTTTATTTACGAGACTACAATTATAAATATATATTTATATATATCTATAGATATTATATCTTATAATATATAAATTGCTGTATATATTATATTTACAGTGACGTTTTGTAGTGCGAAAAAAATTCAATATTAAAATTGTGATCATAATTGGTGTAAGTTTAATTAAGTGTTAATAATTTCAATAAATTCATGAATATTAAATTAATAATTTACATTATTAAATTAATATATAATCAATAATGTATTAGAGTTATGATAATTATATTTTCCTAGTCACAGATCTCTAAGCAGAGCCAACGTAGGGAGGGCTGCACCTTTTCACCGACGTGTTCGATAACCTCCTTGATCTTGTTGATGACGTCCTCATCAGAGCTCTTTAGCACACCGTACAGTGCCACCTTGCACTGACGGCCAGAGTCCTTCCCGTACGCTTTGTCTACGGCGTGGTAGATCTCCGAGAATCGGAGGTCCTCCGGCAAGGGTTTTAACGATCGACGAACCTGTGATTAACATTCCCCTCATCAGTAATTTACGGGCGTAATTAACGAGTGTAATTTACCGGTGGGTGGAAACGATCCATCAACATGTGGTCAGGAAAAGCAAGTCGCAACGTTGCACCTGTCGGCAATTATTATCTACATCATGCCAGGAGCAAGATAATGCGTTTGAATCTGCATTAGCACACGCGTCTGTAGAACAGATGTGTCTATAATAAAGGACACATCGTGCCCTTTTTTGAGTGATAATTAAAGACCCACCGCTATTAAAGAAATTGTTTAATAAATAACTGCGCATTCGAGGAAAATATAGCGAAATACGGTGCCACCTAATATAGCGAACATGTTACTGAGTACTCCAGCATAAAAAATTAACATGAGTTATGCTGTTATGGTTACATAAAATAGCAAGTAATGCAACCACGTTCGATCGTGTAGAGCGACAATTCGCTTGAAATCGGCAACCACCAGACAAAAGTGCATCTCATTGAGGAACGTGGTGGTTCTAGACACAGGTACTTGGAACGTCTCAATAATAAAAAAATTAATGGTAAATAAACACGAAATGTAACAAAGTCTTAACGTTTCTCTACTCAATTTCGCCTATAATCACCTATAAATGCCGGTCAAATGGTCATCTGCAACACACAAGCACACCGCACGCCCGCCCTTGCGGCGCACAAACAACATGAATATGAGAGCGTGTTTATTTACCATTAATTTTTTTTATTGAGACGTTCCAATTGCCTGTGGTTCTAGACTGGTAGGTACAACATCTCCATCGCTAAATTAAATTTAACATGTAAAACCGTACAAGGGCGGGTTCTCGTGAGAAAAAGTGGCATCATCATGTAACCGCGGCAAGCCGTCAACACGAGGTAAACAACCAGATTTCAATCGTTGCATATTTTGGTGAAAATAATGGTGTAGAAGTGGTTGGGAAATTACGAGAACGGTCAGGAAGACAGACTAGCTGTTTGAAGTCATTGCTTTAAACGGACGCCTGTCATTGCAAACTCACGGTTCACAGTTTCTCGCGAGCGAGCCTTATATACAGGGTTAGCTTAACTTATAAGACACTATACTAGTCCTGATAATGTGTGTGTATGCGTGTGCGTGCGTGCGTGCGTGCGTGAGTGCGTGCGTGCGTGCGTGCGTGCGTGTGTATGTGTGTGTGTATGTGTGTGTGCAGCTGCACAGGGCTACCTGCTCGATGTTGTTTATGGTGATGCACAGTTCCTCGGTGACATCAAAAACGCCGCTGTCGTCATAGTAACCAGCTGCCTGCAGCTTTTTGTGCACTTCGTCTGCGTAGAATATTGCCCCGTTGCAGATATCCTGCAAAAAACGTGAACACGTTTCATCTAGAGATCCTGTTAAAAATCTGCTAACAGCGCTTCTCGGTACGGTATCAGGATAAAAAAAACTCGAAACGTCAAAAATAACGCGTTGAAAGCACGGAAAACACTTAGATTTAGATACGGTTATCACGACAAAAACTCTGAATTTCTATTAAAAATCACACTTTGAAAGTATGTTAAAGTCATATCTCGATACGTTATCACGATGAAAAACTTGAATCGAACGCGTCTAAAATACTAATTTCTACCTCTAGGACTTTAGTTACGAATACATATGCGCCAGCGGTATCCGGCCACGCTAACTGCTTCCAAAATTCCCGTATCTGAAAATGAAAACGAAAAACAACATAACATTCGGGAACAGCTTTGTGTAGGGAAGTATGACTGACACTAGGCTAAACAAGTTTCGAGATTCTTAAAATACAATTAAAAAAAAAGTACGAAAGTTTAAATTCAAGTACGAATTTAAATAGATTTAGAATTAATTCACCATTAAATCCTATGTTATGATACGCTATAAAATCCGATCTTTTGCAATTTGTTTGATATTTACAGAACCTGTGGCTTTCTATTTTATTCTCAGAAATTTATGTTCTTAGCGCCACTAACGGAAGACTCCAACGTTCATAAACCAATGTTAGCGTTACCTGTGTGAAGCAGCAAGCTGTATCTACAGCCGATGAGCTATGTTTCACTTGAGGATCAACCACTGTGACCTATAACAAGAGTGAAAGAAACGTAAGGACACCTATTATAGGCCTACTCCCTGTTTCTGCAATGTTAACATCAACCTATGCCATCCACTGGTCCACTATAAACATGCGCGTTGTATTCTGAGATTGCGCACGCAAAATGATGCCTAAATGTATGCAATGTTCTTTTAAGTCCCCCACCCACTCTACCTGTCAGAGATTTATTATGAATCCTTACCTTCTATAATTTTATCCACGCAAGCGGAAGAAAAAAGACAAAACGCCAATGATTAATGAATTGAAATGCAGCTCAATTCATTTAATACCACGCTAACCATAGAAAAGTATTTATAGTTCTGGTTGCAAAATCGATAGAAAAACGAAACAAGAAATGCCATATCCTAGTATACAAGAAGCCAACCACAGTCAAGCTTGTGTATAGCGGACATCAATATGCAATAGATGCATGTTTATAAACAACACTATGGGCGTTTTACAGTAAACCACTTCTATATAACAGACAATTTTATATAAAAGCCTCTATTGAAGTTTTTCTTTAGAGGCAGTTATGCAATGGAACTACCTCTATAGAACGGACATCTGTCTCATACAGATTCCTGTATAGACTCTATACAGGACACGTATTGGGGTTCCCGTGAGTAGTCGCTTTATACAGGACTGACTGCAACTCACACACACACACGCACGCACGCACGCACGCACGCACGCACACACACACACACACACACACAGATATATATAGATATACCTTGTCCAGTTCGATAGCTTTCTTTATTCGGATGTTAGCCTTGGTCTGCGCAATTTTCAGCCATCGATTCACGGCTCCCTTGAACCACTCGTGAAAGTGTGACACCGATAGGCTCTTTGTTTCACTGCGAAATCACAGATGGAATTAACACAAAGATTAAGCCATGTTCGTGGAAATACAACACGTAGTGGTGGTATGCATACTCACAGGTGCACACACACACACGCGCGCACACGCACACGCACGCATGCGCGCGCACACACAACGCACAAACGCACACGCACCCACACACCCACGCACCTGTGTGGTAGATAGGACTTCATCTGAGCAAACTCTTGCAGTGCGAGGTACAGCTCAAACAGATTCGTGCCGATCTGCATTCCTATCGGATTATTGTCATCCTTGAGATTCGTCACATCGGCGCTGTTTGCTAACTGGTCAATCGGCGCTGCCACCTCCTCGGTGAACTGCAAACACAATAGTGCAAATATCAACATCAAAAATATAAACAAGTAATAACTAACATCGCTAAATATAAACATAACAAAAAAACAAAACAATTCAGAATATATACAGCACTTGCTGAAATCAGTGGTAGTTAAATTATAGATAGGTATAGGTAGGACATAGAGAATGAATATGAAGTATGTATAGATACCATAGATATAAGCGGGAGTAAATAACAAGGGATTATTATTTACCTTTGTTGTTTACTCCTGATAATAGATGATAGAATATCTTTATACATAGTAACATTGCGGGTGACCAGTTGCCAGTTGCATCGTAAGAGCTAATTCACCAGCGAATAGCGTACACCGACGCAATACAACACTAGTGCTATGTGTGCAATACTACCTAGCTAATGTGTGTCTCTAGCACTATAGACCCAATTGCCCCGCATTACCCTTCTTGGAGAGTACTGGAGGCAATAGTGCTAGAGCTAGTGTGGGCTGTACCGAAGAATGATGGATAAATCACACTCCCCCTTCCCGAAAATTACTACCTACCTCATCCTCCATCGCTGCGCACACATCGTCTGAAAGCTGGCAGACGAGAAGAAATAGAAATTCACGCGGTTAGATAGGGATATACGTTCCACCGGTTATAGTGGTTAAAGACCCAATGAGGAAAGCTGCGCGCTCGGACAGGCATCGCTGTCTCAAGAATAACAGCGGGGCAGTAAGAGCAGATCATTACGCTTTCCTTGCCTTGAATTACTATACAGATCGTATCGCACAACGTCGTCGCAGGCGAAATTACGGGTGCAGTGACGTATGGGCCAGTTGCTATAAGCATTACTTACGTGCACACGGAAACGGTTAACAGTAAGTAGAGTTTAATCTTGGGGAACCGGTGTAATAGTATTAGCAGAATTTTGCTCAGGGGAACATGGATTGCAATTCACGTTGCTGGCTACTGTCAGTTGTTGCAAATGTTCAGATCGTATATATAT